TTTAAATCGAAGGGTGTGGTTTTATGGAGGTGAACGACTTCAGGGAAACATTCGACGACCATTTGCAGAGGAATGTTTGCCATGATATCTACCCGTGAATTGGCGTAATCTCGTTTTCTCGAATGTTTGAGCGCATACAAATGACGTACTCTAACGCGGGCATCGATAAAACGTTTCACAAAGGGATGGTATTTCTATGGTTCAAGCCTTAGAAAGTAGACGACAGATCAGAAATTCGTAAGGGTCGCACCCCTAGTCTTTCGACAAAGAAGATACTGAAACGTGATTGATCGATTGACCTACAATTACTACTACTCATACTCGCCAACATAAAAAAAGACGAATTCTTTGATATTTAGTTTTGCTCTTTATACCGTTGGACAAAATTTCGTACCTCGGTCGTTAGTTTTGTATACCAATCCTTAACTTTCTGTATTTCGTCTTAACCCTGTATTTTAATTTCCAATTTTCTGCATTTTTAGTTCCATATTCTCTTTTTAAATGTTCTATTCTCTTACATTTGTACTTTGATTGGTGATTACTCGTGCCTTAATTTTGCATTTTAATTCTTAATTTGTTGCGCGAGAAGTGTCGTCCTTTTACAGACACGTCTTTATACAAACGCGAAACCTAATCTTTATTTTGACAGAACAAAATCGATCACAATTCGACGAAATGATATAAAACGGAGAATATTGTGCATCCATTATTTCCTTATAAAACGTAAGAAACTTCTCGGACGACCTAATGTATTCTAATACTTAATTCTGCGTACCCTGAATTTCGCACTTTAATTTCTCGTGTCCTGTATTTTTAATTTCGCTTTTATTAATTTCACTGTTTAATTTTCAATTTTCTGCATTTTTAATCCTGCGCTCACTAGTTCCCAGTTCTTTTTTCTATCTTTAGTTCTGTACGTCTGCTTATTTATTTTGACAACATTATATATATATATATTTATATTTATTATATATATATATATATCGGGAGTTGGAAAAAAACTGCGAACAGGGAACTGCGTAAAGTTTCGCGAGATACATCGGACAGGATGGCTGTACGCGCCGTGTATCGATCGGTCGGTGCATGTGCGCGCGCGATGCGATAATTGTCACTCGTTGCAGGAGAAGATTTTGCCTAGCCGCAGTGCAGTAAATTGTCTCGACCTCTCGTCGACTCGGAACGGTGATTGCAATACCGAACGTGTCGCGGAAATAAGCGAAATAGATTGGCGCGTAGCCAGTGGTTCTCGACGCTCGCGGAATCCTGTTCCAGTCGGTCGATAGATCGTGAGTCAAATCGAAAATGTTTTTCCTACGATCTGTTGCTGTTAGATTTAAAAGCGCATAACAGAAACAACCAACACTATCATCGTATGAAAGTTATCAAAATCCTTGAAACTCTGAGAATTTCATAGCACTGCACCATCTTCTGATCCAACCACTTCGATCCTTCTCGAATCTTTTCAATCTCTAAACACAACTTCATCTTTCTTGCAATCTGAATGCCACGGTTGGTGGTAAAAATAAGCGAAGAAAAATAGTAGAAACAGCGATGGCAAAAACGTAAATGATAATTTCAACTATTCCCCGTAAATAATCTACGCGGACACTATGAGGATTGGCGGATTTTTCTGTGCTTATGGGAAATTGGAAAACAGAAATAATTCAGAAAAATGTACGAAATATCCAAAGCAGCTAGTAGTCCTTGCAATATTATTTAGTGGATAAAACAATTTTCTACACTTCCATTTCTTTCTAATCGCATTCATAAAATCGCGTATTACAAAAATACGCACTCCACTAAGCGTATACGTATTCGTTAAATTAACTCGAGCGTTTTATCGATACCTGGTTCTACTATCTGTCTATTTATCTTTCTTCCCTATCGTATAAGTAAGCTGAAAGATACCGGAAGATCGATTTTACTTTATCAATTCCCATGTTACTAGCGCTGTTGGCGAAAAAGGAAGGGAAGAACTGCGGGGAAACGTGGTCGAAAAACAGGACGGATCGAAGGCGAGCGGACGTAGTTGGTGACGAATGCTCAGCCTCTCTCTATTGATCCAAATGATACAGACACAAAGGTACGCGGCGGCTGTTCGTCAACGATTTTAACGAGCGGTGTGTGTCGACGGCAACTCTCGTTCCGTCGAAATAAATTGCCAGCGGCGTGCACTGTCATGCCCTCCTGATCCTCTCTATGACCGATATTTTAATGGCTCGCTTCAACAGGATTTTAGTTTCGAGCCATGCTTGCCCTTCCACGGTTAAACGTCCCGTGAACTCTGACACGAGTTTCCGTGCACATCGTTACAGGCTCGTGAAACATAACTTTTATCAAACATACGAAAAATGTGAAAAAGTTTCTTTCGTTTTGTAAGATGATAATAGACGAACAATAATTTCTGTTTTATATTATTTTATTGAATTAGGTATGATCCATTTCGTCGTATTTCTATCATTATGTTCGTGCATAATTCAATAAACTGATATAAAGCAAAAAACATTGTACGTCTATTATTTCCTTATAAAACGAAAGAACAACTTTTCGAACAACCTAATATATACGCGTATGGGCTACTTATAGAAAAGGTTGCAAGCGATTCTGTGTAACCGTAGTTTATCGCGGCGGTTGATTTTGTGAGCATCAACGTGTCGGTGATAGAGTTTGCGCATCCCTATACGTTCATGGGAATGTGAGAAAGTGCAAAATTGCACAGAATGTACATAATATGGAGACGTATATGAAATATTCAAGATATTAGATTGTCCAAAAAGTGTTTTTATTTTACAGACACGTCTGTTACAACGATGCATCTTTATACAAACATGAAACCTAATCTGTCGAACGTTGTGATCTTTATTTTGACAGAACAAAATGGACCATAATTCGACAAAATAATATAAAACGAAAAACGCTGTGCATCCATTATTTCCTTATAAAACGAAAGAAACTTTTCGGACGACCTAATACGTACAGCTTTTTATAATGGCCGATGTAATTTTCTACGAAGGCTATACCTTTTTTTAAAAATTATATTCGCAAAAATATGAATTTGCATAAAGATACACAGTGTAACGACGAATATACGACAAGCGGAAGTCTTAAATCAATGTGTTTACTGGAACATTGTACGCGTTCGCGGTCTCTTTGTGTCGTCGATAGAAATCAGAGTTAAAACTCTTTTGAAGAGTGGTCGAGGAGTAGCCAAGATTTGTATGAGTTTCAAGATAAACAATTTTCCATTGAAAAGTATTTTCCTATACGACGATGTTGTTCATTGGGATTCTTGTGACATTTATTTACGTAACGCTCATGTTTATTCTCCTACCATCTAATATTTTGATATTGCAAGTTCCTGGTTTTTCTCTCCAATCTTCTCTTCGATCTCCTGTCTGTGATAATTAAAGATACCTGGTCAATTGTTTATAAGAAAAGACCGATCTCTATTCTTTTGCTCGACACTGTAATGATTTTACCAGTAGTGTAAGATATACGCGTTGAGATGTTGAAGGTCTAAAAGATTAAAGGTTTGTGAATATTGGAGATGATTGAAGCGCATACCACGTGTCTGACCTTACGAGGCCTGATTCTACTTATCTTCAAGAAGCACATTTCCGTTCACCGTCACAACGTTCCATGAATCTGTCCCTGTCCCTTGAGAGTATCCTATCGTATCTCTTATTAATAATGTCAGCTACGGTTGTCAATATTGTCATGCATGTCTAATGCAAAGCTAATCGTCGATAGCTAACAATCATCCGTTTCATCTAATCAAAGCTCCATGCTCGATAACTTCATATCGATATATTGATTCTCAGATATAACTCAGTGTTGGCTGAATCATTGTGCTCCAAATGTCCAACGTCTACTGTCAAATATATTTATTGTCCACTACATATTCGCTTCGTAAAGAGAAAAGAAATATTGACGACATAGAAATACAACGTCGTTGTCGATTCTTCCATCGATTAGAAGATTACAGAGGAATCTTATATCTTATTATAACTTATGCTCACGTATGTTCTTTTGAGAAGAATAAAAACATTTTTATCTTTTAATTAATAGCGAGTAATTTCTAGAAAGAGGTACTTTTAGAAGAAACTTCAATTTGTTTCAGCGTCCAACGATATATTTGTAACATATGTAAATTGCAAGCAAATTGTTCATCGAATTCAAAATATCAGTAACCTACATTACAGATGATCTTTCCCGCTAATTTCACTCTCAATGATTCACATGAGAAAATAGAAACTAAGCTTTCAGATGAAGAATTAGGCGAAGAAAACTAATCCTCAGCAATATCCTCGTAAACATAGAAAGTAATTTAACTCCGAACATCTACATAATCCACAACTAACTCAGCCTTGTATGTAATTAGATAAGTAGATATTACGTAATAATTAACGATAATCAAGTATGTCACAATAAAATTCATACAACTTTTCCAAAACCTCAACCATATTAATTTTTACTTTTCAACACAAAAGGGTGAAACAAACATTTTGCCAAATTATCGTCAGCCTGACCGAGCCATCGACGACGATAACGATGCACAATTTTCTATATGGCCCTGTACCATCCCTCTACATGTGTAGACATTTGTATTCCATGTATGTGTGTTTCACACCATGGCGGAGGTGCGTACGTAACGAAATTGCATAATCGAGCTTCCTCAATGACGGGAACGCCGTGTGACGATCAACGAGAGATAATAACGTCGCGGAGGAGAATTGTCGCGTTTACGCTCGCGAGCGCGTCGCGTCGGTGTCGCGCGTAACAAAATTACGCTTTTTACGAGCGGTAGATGACGCTGGGCCCTGACTTGTACGCTTGGCCCCGACTTCTTCTACACGCTTGGCATTTTTATCTAATCGTGAACGCATTCCAACGAATACGTCGGCTGACGTATTTAATTCAGCCACACGCTGCAATATTAAATTACATGCCACGAATTATTCAGCCGGTTAACATAGCCAGACTTGAGACTATAAATTTCTCGCGGATCGTTGTCGCATTTTTACGTGCAAATCTCTTCATTCAAATCATCGTCGTTCCTTCCTTTTCCTCTCTGTCCCTCCGGGAGGCTCTTAGAGGCTCTTTGGTCGCGTGTCGAAGGACAGCGATCTCAAATTTGTTAATTTCGATGATAGAGAAAATAAAGTGAGATCCTGTTTGCTCGAATATCCGCCGCTTCCTGTTTCCTCCTTTCGTTGAATAAGAAATGATTGGTTTTTCAAGGGACGTTTATATCTGTCGCAGTTAGAAGCTTCTGCACAGCGTGGAAGTCTATCAAAGTCTGCGGATTTATATCGTTCTTTAGTATCGAAGGTTATACCGATTATTTCCAATATGTTTAATAATATGCTGCAATAATATTTACAGACATTTATGCCACCACGAATGTTTACTATGATCTGCGATATACCGATTGATCACGTGGACACGAGGAAACATTTGATATCCAGATAATATCGCGCGGTTTTATATAGCTTTAATTAACGTATCCGAGGAATAAATCAGCGACTATCGTCTCACAGAATGATTCATAAATTAGCCGTCGACTGTCCAAAGAGTCCTCAACTACTTGTAAAACATTCATCAAACTCTATCACGTGAAATAATCCCTCTCGAGGTATCGAAAATCTCTGGAAAATCAGGACTCAACTTAAAGCAAACTAAATGAAAGAAATGCTAGATTAGACCCAGCTATTTAGACGAAGCGGAGGAATCGGAGGCAAAAATAACAACTCGAATAGAATGTTGATTGCTTAAAAAATATTCCTTAAAAAATAAATACGATAGGAGATAACGAACCGGTGAACACTGAAATATCAAAAATCTTCATCGGTCTCGAATCTAATTGGAAGCAAATTAAATGAAACGAGTCGAAATCAAACGATTTGGAGGAAATTCACGGAACACTCGACAAAGATAGAGATTTCAAATTAAAAATTTCTCAACGCACACGTACGCTCGAAAATAGTCATCGAGATGGAACTGCGATGGAACAGCCGAATCGATGAAGGTAAAAAAATTGGGATTTAAATGGTCCTGTGGCATCCATGAAAATCCTAATCGATGTACAAACGTTCGACGTAGATCGATCTAATCCGCAGGCTACGATAAAGTTTGCAGAATGCGAATGCTGATCGACCTTATACAAATTGCTGATCGTTAGCAAATGCGCGCGAGCACGTACTTTCCGGACCAGTCGTATACATAACGAGAGAGATTAGCGCGTAGGGACCGGAAGTGGTTGTCGAGCAGGAAAGCGTCGCGATAAAAGGCACGATGAATCGACTCGTAATATTCCAATAGATGGATGTTTGAAGCTGAAGTAAATTGAATCGTTATTCATTTGTTTTTATATTGTTGTAAGATCGCATCTCGCTGTGGCTGCGTTGAAAAAAGAAGCTATGACGGATATAGAGAATTTGATGTAAATGTGATGCATTTATTATTCTATTAATGTTTTATTATTATTATTTCAAAGTTATAATTATCACTAATCTTCCATTACACGATTGCATTTCATTTTTGACGCGTTAAAACAACTACGTTCAATGTACAGAATTTACCGTGACAGTGATGCATTTATTATGCTATCATTATTATTTATTAGACATCGCAAGGTTACATCTCATTCTTGACGCGATAAAAAGAAGCTACGAACGATGTACGGAATTTTATGTAACAACGACGAATTTATTTTATCATACGCTTATTAATTTGTTCAATTTGATTTAAATAATGTAATAATTAATATTCCGATAAATCTACTGTCGTCGCTTCGAGTATCATTTTCGCGGCTGTTTTCAAAACTTAGCGAGTTATTGCCTCTGTAATTGTACGTAGTGTCCCCTGAAAGCCTGTTCTTGGAACAATATTATGGTAATTGAAATGGTCATAGTCCTCGACTAATGCAAAGTAACAAATAAAATTGCATCAAAATAATTTAGTGGAAGCTTACGTTTTTATGAAATAAATTTCTTTTAAACAATTTACAAAAAGAAAAATGCAAATATTCAATCGTAATTTTAGCGACGCTTTAAATTTTCTCGCAGTGTAGGATACGTTGAAGATAATTGTGTGCAGTTGGAAAGTTCGTACATGGTATGTTGGACGTTGTCTGTACAGCAGTCTATTATGTTGTGATCATTAGTTGGAATATATAGGCTAAGCGAACAGTGGAGCTCTGCAGGGCTCCCAAATGATTATCTATCCGAGCTTCGAACACATTTAGTGTACATAGATCAACGAGGTCGCTGTTGTAACGCAACGTTGTCCAGAGAAGACGTAATGTAACGTGAAATTGATGAAAAACAATGCAACATGAAATTGCAAAAGTATTACATAAAATATATTCTGAAACCGATACGAACAATCATTCTGCTTGTCTATTCAATGCAACAATCTCTATGCGATCTATTGATCTCGATGATAACACAGGTAGGATTTGCACGTAGCCATTTTCACTCTGCTATTTATTACCTGAATCAATAACTGTACCATCTAAAAATACTTTTGTACAGTTATAAAAGTCTGTCGTGATAGAAATAAATATGTTCGAGTTTATAGAATCCACTTGAAAGATACGGATACGTGGCAAATATTTTTCACGTATCTTATTACTACGAATTATTAACGTTTGTATCGCTTTGAAGCTACAAATAATCTTTCAAATTCTAACGACTATACTTTCGATACATTGAAGAGATAAGACGTACATTAATTGTTCATTTCAGCTTGCAGACATGCTCTCGCCAAATATCTAAAACAAATGCTCGAAACGTGCCATTAACCCGACCAGCATCCCCTGTTTGTACAAAATAAACTCGTCGCGATTTTATTTTGCTTTCATTTCCATCCTCATCGACGAATGCACTGCTTTTTCCAGAAACATACTTTTTCCTCGAGCAATCTTTAGGACGAACTTTCATCTCCAGTTACTTTTTAGAATAATTTTTCGACGTTGTACGTGTCACAGATCTATCCATCGAACGATGAAATATTACGACGATGAATTTTTATTGAAATAAGATTTTAGGAAATTTCACAGCAAAGTTAACGCGGACTAAAAGTGACTACTAGAATTAATATCTAAAATGAGGGGAAGTAATTCGCTGAGAAGTTATATTGGTCGACTCTATGAGTTAAGATTCGTAGGATAATGGCAATGACGAATATTATTTTCCCAAACATTCCTTCGAAATTCTTTATGCTGTCTCTTTAGAAGTAGATCTGCGAAAATAAAATCTCTTTTTTGACAATGTTGAATATCGGAATAACGTGAAGTTTATCGTGTTTATGTATGTAGATTTATAAATACAAAGACGTAAAGAATGTAATAAAATACATGAAAATATATAAAATATTCAAATGAATGCGAAGGTTGCAATATCTAACACGCGAAGAAAATCAAAACTATCTTTTTAGGTACGTTAATAAAAACTTGAATTTGCATAAACGTCTACGCTAATAAATCAGCGTGTTAATCCATCATTGATGATTTCGTAAGGTAGAGTTGATCAATTTGGCTTCTCAGAGGCTGGAATATAAAAAAGAGCAGAGAACCTCGAGCAAGATGGATCTCTCGCAGTCTTTCGAAAAGAAGGCACGTTAGAAGCTCGCTGAACGAGAGACAAAGAAACAAAGTAAGCGAACGACCACGCCGGGGAGCGTAATCGTCGAATTAAGGTCGAGGGTACGGGGGCTTTTATTGAGAAGAAAGCGTATCTGGGGATCGCAATTACTTGCCAGAAACGGGGGACGCTCTTGCGATTAGCGCGGTCAGGATCGACGAATTTTCTGCTGTGAATTGCACAGATAAGAATGTAACAAATGTCTTCGATTATTAAAAAAGTTTCAGTCAGTTTCGATAAATAATTAATAAATAGATTTAGAATTTATTTCCTTTTTTTTCTTTAGAATTTAGTATCGATCATATAGCAACATCTAATGAAATCAAGAAATTAACAACAATCAGAGTAGATTAATTCATGGGTGAATTTTTCGTCAAAGGATTACGTTACAGTAGAACACGGAATTGCAATGAAATTAAGAAATTAACAAAAAGTGGAGTTGATTAGATCGATTTTTTAGCAGGCTCGCGCTATACATAGCACACGACACTGCAATGAAATTAAAAAATTAGAGGAAAAATGCAGTCGATCAATTTGTTTTCCCGAGGCTCATATTACACGCGGCAGTACATGAAACTGTAACGAAATTAGGAAATTAGCAAAAACGAATTAATCAATTTGCTATCCCGAGAGACTCGTGTTATATGCTACAATACACTACACGCACTACATGGAATCGTTTAATAAAAGGTGTCTGGAAATGTTTGAATGGAGTTTTCACGAACCTGTGTACCGCAAAGTACACAACCGCGAACAACTTGCATTCTGAACTAAGAAAAACAATGGCCAAATAAACAATAAACGAAAGACAAACGCGAGCAGGAACTGAAACAACGGAAAAGCAACGGCGTTTGTAAATTGCGACAGCTGTAGAAATTAGTTTGTACGTTGGAAAGGGGTGGATTTCACCCTTTGGAGAGCCTCAAGTTCGTTCTCGCTTGTCACAGACGTTCGACCCACGAATTTCATCGCGACAGACGCCACAAAACCGAGTTTAATCGAGTTGCATAACCGTCTCTCTTCGTCCTCCACTCGCCCCACCCCTTCGAAAGGGGCGGAAAATGGGTGGAACCGGAAGAGCTCGAAGGGATGCAACGGATTGACTTGAAATTCTAACAGAGTCAGCCCGTGCTTAACCCAATTCGATCTTCGTCGAGGACTTGACTTGGTCGGAACCAGAGAAGGGTGGAGTTCTCACGATACCGTGGTACTAACGAGGGTGGCGCGGGCTGAATGCTACGCTTCATCGTTGCGAACTCGCAGATATGGCGACGTTACGTTATTACGTAACGTGGAAAAGGCCTGGAGAATTTGAGAAACTTCTCAACTGATTTGGCGCTTGTTGGAATAATTGGAATTTCTTGTCAAAAATAACAATATACGTGATAGCACATGATGATTGAAACCTTGTATTTAGCATGATATTACAGAGAAGAAAAAGTAACGTTTAAATTATAGTACCGAGGTTTTATAATATCTTATAATATGCATTGTGAACGTAGGACTATCGTTTCGTTAAAATGTATTTTGTTTCAAATTGTAGTGGATTAAGTATTCTGATCCAAATAACAGGAAGCAAAGAGAATATAAAAGTATGACAGTAAAATATGAACATAGGAAAGGAATGTATATTACGCAGATTGCAAGTAGTAAAATCGTGGGAAATAAAATATTTGAATCGCTAGAGATCTGTTATTAGACTTCTCGAAGTTTGATTTTTAAATGAATATTATAATATCGTAGGATTATTCTTTCACTAAACTTGACTGCATTTTATTTCAAACAGTTCGGGTCGGTTTATTTGAATAAAATTGATTTAGAAGCTCGTTGTTCCACTTCTCCTTCCATTGGGTTTCACGGTAAACGATAAAATTGCGTAAGAGAACGGTTTATGAAGCACAGAGATTCACTTAAAACTACGCTAGTGAAATATGGTGCGGTATTCACGGCAAATAGTGGGTAGATAAAATTTGCATCTTGATACAAAATAACCGCCCATAAAACGGCACAGGTTGTTCTCTATGGTAGATAAACCAGAATAGCGCTTGCGTTCAGAGTTACAGAGCTCGTTCCTCCGTAACAAACTTATTCGCGATAAAACCAGCCACTGTGCGATGGAAACATATTATGTAGATGTTCCAGACGCCCACTCCAACTCTAAAGGGATTACAATCGAGGAATCGATCGTTTCTGGTTTCTCGTTTGAAGCTACTATAAAGAAATAATCATAGCTAGAGCTAGAAGTTATTGCTATTCCAAGAACACTAACCCCATTTCTATATCCTTATACTCATTATACTTGTCGTGCAGTTATTATATCATCCTATAATTCCTCTTTCGTTTGGTTTCCATTTGATAGTTTTTCAATTTTCTTTAAAAAGAGGACACGATATTTTAACTAGAAATGAAAGAAGAACGAACAAATGTAATATACGTTATAGAAAAAGTTGGACGAATAAGAAGTTAGCTCTAACGTATGGTAGTTTAAACAGAACAATAATTTACATTCGAAGATTCAAAATTTTTCTAGCCGATAGTACAGATCTCGTAAGCAATCGATTAAGCCAATTTCATTATACCTATGTCGACACCTCGACAAATAAGTTACAAGTTTCTCACATTTCAATTATATTTCTATCCTCGAAACGTGCTCTGCAAATTGAATTTTCATTATCTACCCTACTATGCGTTGCTACACGCAGATAATTTCCATACAACATCTGCTTCTACGTTATAGAACATTGATAAATCATCGTGAACGTTCTTTTCACAATTCCCTGATTTTGATCTCAGGTTAAATTTAATTTCGTGCTCGAAAATAAAAATCCACGATGTACAAAATGGACCAGGATGTTTATCCACAGAATCCTTCATTCCAAAACGTTTCAGTACGAATAAAAATTCCCGAAAGACAAAGACAAAGATTAAGTCCAAACAGTTTCTCTCCGACTGAAGACAATCAGAAAGAAGAATTTCTCATACGCAAACGATTATACCTAAGCTGATCATCCACGAAACCCTTCGCTCCAGATATTTTCTCTGCGAATAAAAACAGCCACCAACAGAATAGAGCTAAGATATTCATCTGTGAAACCTTCGATAGCAAATATTTTCTTTCCGAATAAAAACATGCGGAAACAAAAATGTCCCATATGCATATGAATTAGCTAAGGTATTCCTGCACACGATACTGCAACCACTCGTCCTTCGGCCCCCGGAGCGGAGAACGCGACGCCAGACGTCGCGTGATCCGTTCGCGTATCGCCGCAGCGCGTCACGAAGCCTCGAACCGCCCCCGAACGATTTAAATCGGCCTGGGGCCGCGTCCACACCGCGCTCCTATCGATGGTACCGTACCATTCTGATCCAGAAACCGACCCTCTTACACCGCCTCGCCTCGTTCACCCTGTGACGCGACGTTCCGCTTTCCGTTTCTCCCTTTTCCACTGTCCGCCGTGGGTCGATGAGGACGGAGCCAGCCGCAAGTGACGCGCATGCGACCTAACAGCCCCAACCAACCACCTCCTCCATCATGGATCAATACCCAACCAGGCCACCTGCCTTTTCTCTCTCTCTCTCTCTCTTTCTCTCTCTCTTTCTCTGGTGCAGCTCGAAAACGCGCGTGTGTCGCTGAAACACGCGACCCAACGTACGGGCAACACTCACGCGCGGACAATCTGGCGCCATAGGGTTGTCTCACGAGTCTTGATCTCACGGTTTCATCATTTTCGTTCGCTTGAATTTTTCAGCTAAATTGCAGGCTAGAGGTAAATTGGATGCGTTTGGACGAATTTTCCGGGTGGACTGTGCAAGGTAGGTATAAATTAGAAATGTTTCGCGAGGTGATTTGGGTGGAGCATGAGCCGCTTCGATGAATATTCCAGGTAAATTGTAAGGTAGCGTAAATTGCAAGTGGTTTGTCAGGTGATTCGAGGAACGTCGGTTGTTTCGATGAATTCTTCAACTGGTTTTCCAGGTTCTCGTCGAATGATTTCGGTTAAACATGTGCTGTTCCGATGAACTTTCTAGGTAGACCGTAGGGTGAGCGTAAATTAGAAGTTGTTGATTAGGTGATTTGGGTGGGGAGTATGGACTGGTTGGATGAATTTTTGAGGCAGATTGCAACGGAGGGTAAATCGCAGGTGTTTCGTTAAGTGATTAGGGTAGTGCATAGGGTGTTGGAATTTTTGGGATAAATTGAAGGTTAAACGATTTAGACGGAACAGAGGCTATTTAGACGAATTTTGCGGGTAAGTTGTAAGGTGGGAGTAGGTAAATTCTATTTACTACTATTCCGTTAAGTGATTTGGAATATGGATTGTTTAGATAAGTTCTACAGTCTACTGAGTAAATAAGACAATTTCATTAGAGTAAGATATAGATTAGAGTTAAGTGGATTTTCGGATATATAAAGTGAGTAAGATGTTTTCGATAGACATAGATTGGCTCGAATGGGTGTGATATTTTCATTAGGGATGGGCTGTTTAGAGTTCTAGGGTGTATTGAATGGGTAAGATGTTTTCATTAGGTAATTTGGGCGAGGAAACATGGCTTGTTTGGATAAATAGAGTGCATTGAGAGGATAAGATGTTTTCGTTGGTGTTAGTGGATGATCGGTTGATTGGAAAGTAAATAACCGGCGTTCGAAGCCTACAACATTAACTGCAGAATGTTTCCCAATTTCTGTGACATCATTGAAACATCTGGGATACAGAATTTCTTCAGATTTCAACATATTATGGTGCATATTGTTATATCGAAAGAAACATCCGTCTGAAAGAACCTCTTACAATCGTAGACTTGGAAAAATTGTAGAAATTGTTTTGTAGCAGCAGCATAATTTTCTTTCGTAACTTAGGTACTCGTTAAGATTAAGAAGTAGCTCTGCTGCTGAGAATTTATTCGATATCGTTAAGGTAATTAGACGTCAGGCCTGAAAAATGTAATTAACTTGGTCATATGATAGATTCTTTAGAAGTTTCGTGTCTCCATAAAAGAACAGGAAAAAAAGAAGAGTAGAGGGACGGAACTTGATAACATCATCTTTAAGCTTCTACACAGACGCAGAAAGTTAATAAGATCTAACTACATTTCTTTTCAATTTCCGCTTATTCGCTCCTTGCCTCATCAAATTTGCAAACGTCCAAAGCACGGTAACTCGATTACCGTTAATCCAGTCAAAGTTGAACGAAGATTAAGGTAGCCATTTAGTTTCGAGCAATTCTGCTATTCTCATTGTTCGCGATTAAGAAAAATCGTTCTTTTCTCTCTCTAACAGACGGTCGGTTTGAACGCAAACTTAATTGGCTGCCATTTTTCTCCTTGTTTAATATTACAGGCTCCATTGCGTCACTTTTTCCGACCCTGTAGTTCACTGTCTCATTTTTCCTCGTTTCCACCAGCCGTTTCAACGACTTCTGCTGTCTTCTTTTTAGCAGGCTGACGAGGGTGGCCAGAAACATATACCGGCCAACCAGGTCAGCACAGAGTTCTCGTCCTCGTTTATCACATTGTGTCCCTTGTGTACGTGTATACATGTAGAAGATAGTTATGTATAACTCGGATAACGGGGACATCCTTCGACGTCCTGGACGTCACTGTGGTTAGCTTCCTTCGGGCTATTTCCGAGCAAAATTTAGTATCGACGCGGTATATATTCGGATTGATGGTTTAGGAGTTTGTTGTTCTCATGCTCTGCTACGTAAATTTAGTTTTATCGACTTTCTAGAAAATTCCACGTGGAGAAAATATATTTGAGAAATTGAAAATTGTCAAAGTTGTGGAATATTCGAGTTTAATTAAATATTAATATTTCCAAATTTTCGGAACTGTAAAAGTCTTCCAAACTCCGAATATTCGAAACTTTTAACTTCCTAATTGTCGAACTCGCGTACATTCGGAAACCTCTAGTTTGATTTACCAAACTAGATTTACCAAATTTTGAAATTACCAAATTTCCAAACTCCCGATCTGCCAGACGATCAAATTTCTCCATTTCCAAACTTTCGTTGCCCGGAAATTTATTTTCCGAATTTTCAAATTTAAAAATCTCCAAATTCCCAAACTCCCCATCTTCCGAACTGCTAAATTCCTCAATTTCCGAACCTTAACCCACCCAAATCCCCAAACGTTCTAACGTCCAAATATTACGCCAGAACGTGAAAGCTACAAAAAGGACGTAAACGAAACGCCAACGAAATTACAGACCAAATGAAAACTTGCAGAATCTATCTAGCGAAAAAGCAACTTCCTTGATCCCCGTGGTAGCGTCACCTACATGGCCATAAGTCGTGTCCCAAAAAAGGACAGCAAACAATATGAAATATTTCACATTCAACGCCAAACAGCGTCCATTCAGGGGACTCAATTGGCTGGCACGGCTCAAAGGGTCCAACCTGGTCCCATGCGGCTTAGCAAACCCGTTCCTTCCACTTTCCTATTCAGAGGCATCTCTTGGATCACATTCTCTGGGCAGGTCTCGCGTACCCTTCTGCGTCGCGTTCATTTCACTCGGGACCTTCGTACAACCAGTACGAACAACAGCGAACCAGTGACCCATTAATAGGACACGTCGCAAACCGCCCCTAGTCTGCCTGGTAAATATGTAACCGGTACACAGCCAGCGAGAATTCGTGTAACTGTGTTATACGATCCGCGTAAACTAATTTCCACCGGTGGAGAATCGTATTACCAGCTGCCACGAAACTTTCGATCAGAGGAAGTCGACCTGGTTGACGGCTCGCGTCAAACCTACGGTTGGTATAGTCGAGGTATGGTAGGTATAGAATACGGTTCTGTATCAGTGGTTTGTTAGAACGTTACTATGGTAATTTAATGATGACTTTTAGTAGTTGCAGATTTAATTAGATCAAGGATATTTGCAGAAATTCATATCTCTATTATTGACTTAATTAACACTGGAACTACCAATTGTAAAACCAATCAAATTGACTGGTTTTACAATTTTATTTTAAAATTCCTACTTCGTGTTATATTTTTTTCCGGCAATGATGTAACGACTTTCGCAACGATAACTAAAAGAATAATATAATGAATTTTATTTTGTTTCTTATGTATTCAAACTCAAAATAATTTTGTATCCAGGCTATTTTTACCACTACCAGTTAAAATGACCGATACTTGTCAAAGTATAAAATTCTGCAATCTGTTTATCGAGCCCCAATTAACCAGTTTCCTCGTTTTCTACAACTTCCCACACGTTTTTTACATTTTTACTGCGTATTCAGTATGATGATATCGGTTATCAGGAAAATTCCGGATCGATCGCTGGATCGCTAGATGCCAACACTAGGAATACCACAGCAGTCAAAATGACTGGTTCTACAATTTTATAAATGTGTCAACCCTCGTTTAGGGATCCCAGATGGATTAATAATACCAAAAATCTACTACATAACATGGAATTCCTTCTGTAAGAAAGTAATAAATCACTAAATATACAAATATTCTATTATTACGTATTTTTTAAAGACCAGTCATTTTGACTGGTTTTGGTAGAAATAGCTTCGTGTTACCTATAGGTAGTTCTAATGTCAAGGAACTGGAACCTACGGACAGATTTGATTCGATCGATTATAACGAGTACTTCTTTTTCCGATATTTTTGTACGTTATATGATGTGTCGTTGATGTATTATAGCAATGAGCTATATATTATATATGTCGGGTTTACATTAGAATTAGTGTTAGGGGCGTGAAACGAATCTTCGTTTAGGTTACACGTTGTCGCTATGCAATAGAGAAGACATTGACTAGTGCAAATACGATTATTATAGAACTGGACAAGTAACCGCGGTAGTTAGGTACTCGAGAAACTAATGACAATGATCCTAGGTTCAATAACGAATCCGCGGTCGACGGGATGATAGATGAACGTACTCACAAAATCTAAGTCGGACGCGTAATATTCACTGGTCGTCGCTCCTTTCATCGATGAGATCGCGAGCGAGAATGTCTTTCCCGTGCCGATGATGCCACAGAGAAAAACTATATTAGGGTGTGTCTAAGGACACGAGATCATCGGATTCGTCGAGAAAAGCCTTCGTTCAGAAAGTAAGGGAAATTGGCGTTGCTGCTAATTGGTCAATCTCCATATCGGTGGTTAGAAAAAGATGCTAGC